AAAAAAAAAAAAAGAAAAAAAAAAGATATCAGACTCCTTCCAGGCCACATCTGGTTGCATTTGAATCATGACCCCAATGCTGTCTCCTTAAAGGAGCTTTGGGAAGCAAGCTTCCCTTTCTCACCTTCTACAACCCCTCCACAGCAATGGCCTTGATTTCTGAAACAGAATGGCTCAGCCATGCAGGGCCACACATCCACTCTATATCCCTACTTCTACAGCTGCTGGTGGACAGCTATCCACAGCGGCCATTATCTCACTGACCATTCTTCCTGAAGAAGCCCCTGCTACCCGCCCAGGGGACCCTGTCCCTCCCCCAGAATTATCCTCATGTCTTCCACCTATTCTGGATTTTGACAGAGAAATAAACTGAATAATGGAAAAAGCAACCAATCTGGGCACAAAGCTGATATCCAGGTGGCCAAAGCTGAGTAGGTACCAGCATGGAGTTCCACCCAGGATTTTGTACTAGCTGGGACCAGCCCCCTGAGATGGGAGGACAGCTCCTTTTCCCCAAAGGTACAGTTATGAGGATCTGGGGCAACCAGGAAGGCCCCTGACCCCATTGGGCCTAAGTGTCCCACCTCCCACAAACTAATGCTGCCTTCCCAGAGGTTCTCTACACAGGGTTGATCATCTTCACAGATACTGACTTAGGTGCTTGGCCTACTATGTGTCTGACAAATATAGCCATTTGCCAGCACCCAGCTGTTGAGTGAAGGAGATCATTTAATTCTATTTCCTATGAACAGGGCTCAGGCATGATTGCCCCATGCCTGTCATCTCTCTAGCCATGGGCTCCCTCTCAGACCTGGATGTCATCCAAGAAGCCAGGGTGGGGATGGGAGTAGAGGTATTCTTCACATAATGCTCAAAGGTAAAGGCAGCATGGAGGCTGAAGGGCCACAGGCCTCACTATAGGCTCAACTTATTTCACTTCTCACTGCATCCCATGTAGACAGACCTGAAAGAAAGTTCTACCATGGTGCAGCTGCTTATGCACATACAAGTAGAGGAAAGGAAGTCTTTGTGCTGCACAACTCCCCAAGGACATGGGTTGGGACAGAAATGACCCATCCTTAGTACCGAAATGTCAACCAGTAGATGTAGTGTCCACTGCAGACAGAGGCCCAAGGAAGCTGAATATTCTCAGCCACTGAACTGGCCTCCTGTATGGGGCCAAGTCAAAATGTCCCCACCAGGCTCCAGGGCACTCTGGGGCCAGAGGGGCAGCCCTAAGGTCCATATTAATTTCAGCTCCATTTTAAAGGCGAGTTAAAATAAACATGGGGAATATTTATAAGGCAAATAAATCTGGCAGAAACAGCCCCTCCAAGTGTGAGTGGAGGCCTCCCCCTCAGCCCCAGCCCAAGCTGATAAAATACAGAAATGCTACTGTAGACCCTCCGGGCTTATTTTGACTGCTGCGGAGGAATGTAACATGTAAACACTGACTCCCATATTACACTGTTACAACTTGCATTAACAGCGCTGGACAAAAGCTGCATTTTCACAGAAGCATCGTACAGGGATATATCTCCAGCTTAATTTTTAAAAAAAMCATTTCCTCACATAAATCATGCTCAGAACTAAACGGGTGACTGATACATTGCAAACACTTTTTTTCTTAACAATAACATACCTAGATTCCTTCTAAACGAAAGAGCTTTAAAAAAAAAAAACAAAAAACTTTGAATTTTTTTTCCTGAAGAAAATAAACACTGAAGTTTCTTTCTTGACCAAAATATCTGAAGCCTTGTCTTCCTAGCTGAGTGGGCTGCCCCTAGAACAAGGTCACATAGGAGAGGTCCCCCAATCCTGTACCATCTCACTAGAGGGAGGTCCTTCCTGGGCTACACTGCTGTGTACATCCACAGTCTGTGTACACCTATTTTCTGATCATAACTCAGAAAATGCTAGTCTTTGGTGACAGTTCAAGACAATGATCTGAGCTTATGGGAGGCCTCAGCCTGGACAGAGGTGTCTGGCAGGGGCTGGCTTCCAGGGTTATTGAATCTTCAAGATTGTTTCATGATGGGTCTAGCACATAAAGCACTATGAAGAAGCTGGAAAGCATAAATAAATTCTACCAAGAGAAATCAATGTAAAAAAAAAATCTTGGAGGTGAGGCAGGCCTTTCTGAACATGTAATAAATCTAAAAGCCATTAAATGTAAAAAGAGATTTAAGTTACATTAAAAAAAAAAAAAGGAAAACCATTTGTACATCACAAGTTCAAAGACATTATGAGAAGCTGAGAAAATCTGCACCATGTATGACACAGGGTCCCATTTCTAAAACACAAAACAGATGGAAGATAAGAAAAAGATAAGGGATTTGGTGGGGGGAGGGAAGAAGAATCAGCTAGGCACAGTGGTGCACGCCTATAATCCCAGCAACTTGGGAGGCTGAGGCAGAAGGATCAATAGTTCAAAGCCTGTCTCAGTAACTTAGCAAGGCCCTAAGTAACTTAAGAGAAAACCTGCCTCAAAATAAAATATAAATAGGACTGGGGATGTAGCTAAGTGCCCCTGAGTTCAATTCCTGGTACTGGGGGAAAAAAAAAGTCATCAACAACCAGATAGAAAGCAGGTCAAGGACCAATCAGTTAATTCACACAAACATGTACATACTCACATGCTTATAGAACACACTCTCAATTTCAAATACAGCCAATAAATACTCAAAAAGATGACTGATTGTGGCCCATATAACCTATCAGACAGTAAAAGGAGTAAAAGGTAAAAACAAACAAACAATAACAACAAAAACAGATAAGGGGTAAGTGTGGCAGTATATGCCTAGAATCCCAGTGACTCAGGAGCCTGTCAGAAGGATGGCAATCCCCAGTGTCTCTGTCTGTCTGTCTCTCTCTCTCTCTCTCTCTCTCTCTCACACACACACACACACACACACACACACACACGACCAGTTAAGGGATTGGGGATATAGCTCAATGACGTAGTCTTGCCCAGCATATGATGTGCAATGCCCTGGGTTCAATTCCCAGCATTGAAAAAATAAAATAAACAAACAAACAAACAAAAAAAAAACCCTAAAAATTACAGCATAAAGGAAAAAAGGAAATAGTGATAATGTGACAAAAATTTAGGCTGAGCATGTAGCTTAATGGTAATGTGCTTGCCTAGTATTTATAAGGCCCTGGGTTTGATCTCTAGCACTGCCACAAAAATAAATAAAATTTTTGAAAAAAATATCACCAATTCAAAAGATAAACCTTAATCTGGGGATCCTGTGAGAGGCAGCAGATGAGCTCAGCTGCAATTTTAGGGAGAGGATGGAAGTGCCATAGGCAACAGGTATCATGACCATTCCACTGGAATGGGAAGAGAGGGTCCTTTCTATTTTATATCTTATAAAAAAGCTGTTGCACTAGGAGTGATGACACATGCCTATAATTCCCCCAACTCAAGAGGCTGAGGCAGAGGATCACAAGTTCAAGGCCAGCCTTAGCAATTTAGTGAGGCCCTAAGCAACTTAGGGAGACCCTATCTCAAAAAATAAAAGGGACTAGGGGTATAGCTCAGTGATTAAGCACCCCTGGGTTCAATCTCTAATACAAAAATAAATAAATAAATAAAAGCTGATGCCCAAGTTATGGGGGATAATGGAGAAGTAGGCAGAAATACATGTAGGACAGGGTATAGCCAGCCATATGTTGAGGTTGAAGGGCATCTGCCTTTGGAGTCAGCTTTTCTACTTGTAGGAAACACCCCTGACAGGTATATATAAAATGTATAAGACYACCTCATCCCATCAGGACCAGAAAATAACTGGTGAGGATATGGAGACATTCTAACCCCACTGCACTGTTAATGGGAATGTAAGATGCTGAAGCTGCTATGGAAAACAGTTTAGCAGTTTCTTATAAAGCTAAAGTTTCTTAAAAAGTACAGTTACCATAAATCTAGAAAATCTACTTCTGGGTACATACCCAAAAGAATCAAAAGCAGGGACTCAAATAGATATGTATACACCCATATTCAAGGCACTATTATTCATAAAAGCCAAGAGGTGGGAGAGCCCAAGMACATAGTGGATGAATGTACAAATAAAATGTGATGTACACAATGCAATATTATTCAATTTTAAGAAGGAAATTCTGATGCATTCTCCAATATGCAGAAAGTTAGAAGACATGATGTTCAGCAAAATAAGCCAGTCATAAAAGGAAAAATACTGTGCATGTCCACTTACAGGAGGTAGTGAGAATTGTCAAATTCATAGAAATGGAAAATAGAATGGTGGTTCCAGAGGCTGGGGTGTGGGGATGAGGTGTACTGCAGAGTTTCAATTTGCAAAAATGAAGAGTTCTGGAAATGGATGATGGTAATAGTTACCCAACAATTATTAGTGTATTTGACATCACCGAACTGTAGACTTTAAAAGGTCAAAATGATGGGGCTGGGGTTGTGGCTCAGTGGCAGAGTGCTTGCCTAAATGATAAAAATTTTAGAGATTTAACTCAGGGGCACTCTACCACTGTCTTATATCGCCCCCAGCAACCCCCACTGTTTTTTTTTTTTTTTTTTTTTTGCAGTGCTCAGGATTGAACCCAAGGCTTCACATATGTTAGGCAAGTGCCTTACCACTGAGCTATATCCCCAGCTGGTCTCAGTCCTTTTTTAATTTTATTTAGAGATAAGGTCTCTCTAAGTTAAGGAGGCTGGCCTCCTCTCTAAGTTAAAGAGGCTGGTCTCAAACTTGTGATCCTCCAGCCTATCTGGGATTACAGGCACATGCCACCAGCAAAATGGTAAATTTTATGTGTATTTTTCATCATTTTAATAATTGAAAAAATGAATAAGTAATATTTATGATACAAGGTAAGAAAGATAAACTACCGAGATATTCATTCATGATAGAAAGGTCAAAGAAACAATACCACAACCAGTTAAGAGACTCCAGACTTGATCCCAAAGATGCCACCTCATTTAGTGTGAAATACTGAAGGCAAGTAGAGCATGTGACACACACAGACACTCCCCACAAATACATTTCAACACACACACACACACACACACACATATACACACCTGCATTCATTCTCTCTCACACACACACACACACACTGCGCATCTCTGGGACTTTTCTACCAGGATTTCCTTATGGCCAAACACTGCTATCAAACAAGCCTCTGCTGCCCTCTGGTGGTTACTCTGGTCCCTGCAAGCTGGAAGTCACACTTGTAGCCATCAGAAGCTGCCTGGACCTGGGACCCCTGGACCAGCTGCACTGTGAACATGTGGACGTACTTAATGCATGTGTGCCAACTGCATGCTTTTGGTATCAACTGGGATATAACTTCTGAGGCTTTTGGATCTTCTTCTAGATTTCAAGCAGATGATACTGAGGACATTTGATTGAGGCCCTCCCTGATGTCCCTAAGGAACTCTAGGGTTCCGGGGAACCATGCTGAACAACTACTGACCTAGATAATAAACGGCTGACTCACTTTATGTGACATTTGTGCTATAACTTCTAAAACAGTCATAGCACACAGCATCAACAGCCCTGCAGAGGGGCACACATGACAGTTTTTTTTTCATTCTTTTTTTTTAATATTTATTTTTTAGTTTTAGGTGGACACAATATCTTTATTTTATTTTTATGTGGTGCTGAGAATCGAACCCAGTGCCTCACACATGCTAGGCAAGCGCGCTACCACTTGAGCTACATCCCCAGCCCCTCTTTCTTTCATTCTTCTAGAAAAACTGGAAAGAATGGACTAAGAACTGAACAGTGCCATGGACAGACACTGATGCTAGCGAGCAAAAAGAGGATTCTCATCCTGGGCATGCTAGACCTTACGTTTTTCCAGGGGATTCCTTCAGCCAGAAGATGTCATCACTTGTAATTCCATATTCCAAGGCACCTTCAATCTATCAAAGGAAAGAAGATCAATATGACAGGAATGCCATTTGGTCTGTCCCAAGAACCTCCTCAAAGAGAATGCCTCTTTTGAAGAAACAACCAGAACCATACCCAGCCCACATGTGGAGAAGGTTTCTCTTCAAACTTGAACAATGGAACTTGTCTTCAGGTTGTAACCTCTCTGGGGATAGAAAGTGAACTGTCTATATATCAAATTCAGTGTGTGTCTGCCTGGGTGGCTCTTTCTGCTCTCTGAAATTTTCCACTTGACCTTGATGTAGATAAGAGCATGGGGCCTTAGAAAAGCATGGCAGCTGTAGGGGCCACACACACAGAGAGCTGGTCCTCCCATGACTCTGGGTACTCAGTAAGGGAAGAGATGGGGGCATGCAGACCAAGGGAGTAATGCTCAGGTCTGGGGGTCAACTATGAGAGAAGCAGGTAAAGAGGTTGGAAAATCACAGATTGGGGTTTTAGCTTAGTGGTAGAGTATTTGCCTGGCATGCTCAAGGCCCTGGGCTCAAAAGTAGGAAGGAAAGAAAGAAAATCAGAGATCAGGAGAGCTCTGCAATGTCCCAGTGACAGGGGCCAGGCACCAGAGTAGGACAGAAGAAGAGGATAAGCATCATGGGCTGAGAACAGGTAGGACATGGGGAGTTGATGGTTCTGAGGACACGAGATTGCAGGCTAGACACACCAGAAATCCCTCTGAGACCATTTAGGATGAGTTCTGTGCCCAGGAATGATATAGATCCTTTGATAAGAGGCAGCTAAGTAGGTGGGGGAGTCCCAAGGTCATRCATCCTCTTGGCCTTATGAAAGTTAAGATGTGCTGGTGGAGAGGAAATAGATTTTAAACAGTTTACAATTCCAATTGGCCAAAATAAAATACAGTCATGAATTTCTCCAGTTTGCACAAGGAAAACCAAAAGGTCTGAAAATCAAAGGGACTTAAACAGAAGCAAGCTTTGGCACACACTCAAGGAATGCACATGAGGGATAGCAGTGGGCAGTGGAGAGAGTGGATCAGCCACTGAGCTGCCTTCTCTAGGACCTGGGAACTGTAGCTCCACTTTCCTGTGGGAAAGCAGAGACACCAGCAGTACAGCAGGGCGGAGCAGGCCAAGGAATGTCCATAGGGCACTGAAGCATGGGGGCATATATAGCTCTGCTCAGCACCCTTAAGGAGCTGAGGTGACTATGGCCCTGGGGACTTCCAACCACCAGAGCCTTACTCCTGGCTGATGGGGTCACTTCAATCCTGTCCACTGAATCAAACTTGAACGATGGCACTGTATCATCTATGGAGCCAAGCAGTCTGCCTAAGGGCCACCTCTGTGCACAAGCAGCTAGTGCCACCTTAGAGACTGCTCTTTTTGACTTGCCAGACAGAGGTCCCATGGCCCTCTGAGGACTGGGGGAACTCACATTACTCTGGTCTCTTTTCCTCCCCATTTTTTAGGGCAAGCACAGAATAGAAGTAGAAGTTGAGGGTTTAGATGTTCAYATGTCTCTGTTCCCATCTAAAAAGGAACCCCTTGTTCTTCCTCCATCCAAGCTCCACCTGGGTCTAATCAGAGGCTGGTGTGGCTTCCAGGATCATGAGACCTGTGGGCTTCATTAGCTTTTTTGAAGCTAACATGTTGAGGGCTGGTAACATCTAGGTCCCTGAGAGACTTGTGAGGATGTAGCCTTAGCCAAATTMCTGTTCCTGCTTCTTACTTTCCCTGTAGCAGCTCCTCCATATCCCCACCCAAGCTCACTCTGTGGCCCCTTCCTCAACTCTGCCCTCCAGGAGGAAAGAAAAGCCCCCTCATCCCAGAAGACTGGGCCAGGAGATGATGTCAGCAGAATAGGACCTCCCAAAATTCAACCCTCTGTGAAAGCAGAGAAAAAACTGGCAAGAAAGTTCAGATTCAATTTTTTTTTTTTTTTTTTGGTAAAGGGGATTGAACCCAGGGGTGCTCAATGTGGATCTGAGACTGAGATCCTGAGGAACTGAGTCACATCCCCAGCCCTTTTTATTTTTATTTATTTTTGGTACTGAGGCTTGAACCAGGGGCACTTAATACTGAGCTGCATCCCCAGCCCTTTCTGTATTTTATATTGACACAAAGTCTCACCAAGTTTCTCAGGACCTTGCTAAGTTGCTGAGGCTTTGAACTCACTTTGAACTTGCCATCTTCCTGCCTCAGTCTCCTGAGCCACTGAGATTACAGGTGTGCACCACCATGTCAAGCTTTTATTTTTTTATTTTGAGACAGGGTCTTGCTAAGTTGCTTTAAGCCTTGCTAAGTTGCTGAGTTTGGCTTTGAACTTGTGATCCCCCTGCCTCAGCCTCCCAAGTCACTTGGATTACAGGCATTCACCATTGTGTCTAGCCAGATTCACCTTTTCAGAGCTTTGAAAAATCAACTAAGAACTCACAGCAACACAGGGAATACTGAATCAAGAAAAACAGAGGGAAGTCAATAAGAACAGCATCTCTATGAGGAGAGTTTAACTTACCCTAGTCCTGTCTCCCAGTCTTAAAAAATGACAGCACCAGAAATAGCAGGACAGAGTTGGGTGCCTTGCAAAGTCTCTTTCCCAAAGAATACTAGCATTTGAGCTGGCTGATAGTTCGTAACTTTCCTCCAGTATGGCCAGTGCTAAAAGCCTCTCCCTGGGCATCTGGCCAACATTTTATCTTCATGGCTTCCTGAGGTGATGGATAACAGGTAAGGCAAACAACAGGTGAACCAAGAAGTTGAAAAAGAAAAATTGAGGAATGAATATTCACAGGTGCTCTGAAAAGCTCCCACAATATCTCTGGGTATCTAGAAGGCCAGGCAAATGCACTAGGTTGTGCACACATCAGGAAAGACTAAGGGCTCTCATCTTGGGCTAACCTTAATCTCTGCACAAGCAGGAAGCAAAAGCTAAAGTAGAGTTATTTACTGCCCAACTGAGTGTTGACAGCACCCTGAAAATGGACATAGGCCTCAACAAAGACTGGGAGGTTTCGTGGTTCCAGGTGTTTAAGGAACTCTCTACTTAGTCTTTCACTGAGCAAGCAGACTTCAGTAGCCACATATAACAAAGAATAAATACTTTATAAAATTAGTTCAAATAAGTCACCAAACAGCAAAACAACAGAAAAATTCTAGAGAGGAAGGAGAATCTGATTTCCAGCATTATCACAATAACTCACATTATTTGAAAAGTTCAACTTATCACAAAAAATTATAAGATATGTAAAGAAACTAGAAATTGTGCCCTTTGTTCATTGCTGGAGGGAATGTACACCACTTTGTACACTGCTAAATGGTATAGCCACTTTGAAAAACCATCTGGTAGTTCCTCAAAAGGTTACAGTGACCATATGATCTGAATTCCTTTCCTAAGTAAATTCACAAGAGAAATAAAAACCAAATCCCTCAGAAAACTTTTACACAGATAGCCACAGYAGCACAGTTCATAATAGTTAAAAAACAGCAAATCACTGAGATATTCATTGTGGACAAGTAGATAAATAAAATGTGATCTACACATACACTGGAGTATCATTCAGGCTTAAAAAATAAAGGAAATTCTGACACATACTACAACATGGATGAGCCTTTGAAATAAGCCAGTCACAAAAAGACAAACTGTGTGAACCCACTTTTTTGTGTATCTAGAATACTCAAACTCATAGAGACAGAAAGGAGAATGGTGGCCATCAGGGGCTGGGGGAGAAAAGGACAGAGAACTGTTGTTTAATGGGTGCAGAGACTTTGTTTGGGATGATTAAAAAGTTCTGAAGATGGAAGTTGGTGACTGATGGTTGTGCAACTGTGTGAATGTACTAAAAGCCATTGAATTGTATTTATAAAAGGGTGAATTTATGATATTTGAATTTTATTTCAAATTTTTAAAAAATGGGGGAGGAGAAGAAAGATAAAAAAGGCTTAAATTTTCCATGCCCCAACATTCTGAGGTTAAAGAGAAAAGGAAGAGTCAACAATGAAGACTCAGAAGAAAGGTCACCAGGGCTGGATGTGTTGGCATGAACCTGCAGACCCAGCTATAAAGAAACTGAAGAGGAGGGTAACTTGAGCAGAGTAGTTCAGGGCCAGCCTGAGCAAAACAGTGAGACTCTATCACTTAAAAATAGAGAGGGAGGGAGGGAAGAAGAGAGGAAGAGAAAGAAAGGGAGGGGAGAGGGAGGAGAAAAGAATGAGGAGGAGGAAGAAGAAAAGGAGGAGGAGGGGAGAAAATGGAAGAGGAGGAGGAACACTAGTATGAAAGGAAAACAGGCTCAGTGATACCCAGGATCTAACTAAAGAGTGCAATAAGAATAATTCTGAGGATTCAGCAATAGAAGATATCTCTGGAGACTTCCAGTTTCAGCAGAATGGATTCGAGAGAGAACTGAAAAGGAAATAAAGATGTATGGAAGAAAACAAAGGGGTGAAAGCTTTGATGTGGGAAGCATGTGAGCCCAAGGACCATTAATTTGCTCAGGGGTGCAGGGGAAGCTGGGTTTTGGGGACACTCACATGTGTGGGGTACCTCGGCCGTCCTCCAGTAGCAATAACGATGTGGTCAGCTGAGAGCAGAGTCTGAGAATAAACCAAGAAAGCTGCAGATCAAACTGTATACTATGATCACCCAACAAAAGGCTCAAATGCCTGCTGGTACGGCAGGACAACAGTACCCTGCACTATAGTCCCCTACCAGTAGCTCAGAGTCACACAGAGCAGGGATCTGTCAAAAGTCTGTCAGACAGGAGACAACAGGAGGTTACAGGTGGAAGGGACAGGGTGATACTCCAACTCCAAGCACTTCACAATTTATAAGTACCCAGCAGGCATCTTATCTCCTCAAATCTCTATAAAATTCTGCAAAGAGGTTGTGATCACGCTCCCTGTCAGCCCGTTACCCTGAATAGCTGGGCAGCTTGACATGATGTGCATCCCATGCACAAACTGTTAAATAATTTTTTTTTGGCAGAGCTAGGGTTGGAACCCAGGATCCGACACATGCTAGGAAAGCACTCTACCACAGAGCTAAACTCCCAGCCCTATTAAATCATTTTGAAGAAGTGTGACCTCAAAGGAAGTCATTAGTTTAATTCCAGCAGTGCTTATTACTAGAACAATACTTAAGCTGAACAAGACTGGACCCCAGGTCCTCAGAATGCCTGGAGAGAATCATGAAGGACAAGGTGAGCATTTACCTCTTTCCCACTTTTTGCGATGCCACAAACAGTGTGCTCATTGATGAAGCTGGCTTTGATGTTAAAGTACTTGACTTTTCTGCAAAACAAAAATAAGGATTTTCAACATTTCCTCTGCAAATTAAAATTCAGTGATCAGATCATCGTATAGACTGCTAAAAGATAAGCTTTGGAACTGAGAATATACCTCAGAGATGGAGCACTTGTCTAGCATGTGTAAGGCCCCAGGATCCTTCCCAATACTGCAAAAAATAAAACAAACAAACAAAAAACTAACCCAAAAAATAAAAAGCAAAAAAGGCAAGGTCCAGCCCAGGATCTGGTACCTATGCTAAGGTGCTTGTCTGAACATGAGCAGAATACCATGCTGGGAAACATGAGGGTATGAAGGGCATCTTGCCAATTCTCTATGCTTCCCTGGTACATGGTGACCATAGGTGTCAAAGCAGGGACAAAAGTCAACTCAGAACTGTCCTGAAAACCCATGTTCAAGCCCTGGTAGGCAATGACAAGGGCCAGGCCTTAAGCCTAGGCATGTACCAACAAGAAACTAAGGTGCCTACCATGTAGGTGCCACCCTCTCTGCCTTTAGGACTTGGTGTTGCCTGAAGGAGGGGCTTAATGTGGTTGGTGGGGCCCAGCAGTGGTCAGGTGCATAATATGCAGCAATGATCCATGCAGCCAGGGCCAGTGTACACATCTGTAATCCCAGTATCCAGGAGGCTGAGGCAGAAGGATTGTGAGTTCAAGACTAGCCTGGGCAACTTAGTGAAATCCTGTATCAAAATAAAAAAATAAGGGGCTAGAGATATAGCTCAGTTGGTAGAGTGCTTGCCTCACATGCACAAGGCCCTGGGTTCAATCCCCAATACCACAATCAATCAATCAATGAAATAAAAATAAATTTAAAAAATGATTAGGAGTGTAGCTCAGTGGTAGAGTGCCCCTGGGTTCAATCCCCACTATAACCAACAAAAGAAAAAAGAAAAAAAGAAATGACCCACACTAATTATAAAGACCATACTATCTCAGGAGTTCTTAATAGTTTGGAGATGGGTTTGCCTCCTCATTGTGCATTATCTCCACCTCCAAGCTCTGTGCCTTTCTGGGCTATCTGAGCTATAGGAAGCTCCTGTACACATGCCCTTCACTTATCATAACAATAGGAAATAGCTGTGTGAAACAGAGGCACATAGCATTATTCATAATAATGAAAAACTGAAACAACCCAGGTCCCTGCTATTCTCCCTTTAGGGGTGGCTGTGAATTGGGCCTGCTTTGCACCTGCCTGGGAGCTGCCTGGGGCCAGAAGAAGGATGGCAGAGCCTACTACCTTCAGAAAACCAAACTTGGGAATATGGAGCTCCATATGAAAGACACAAAAAACTGTAACAAAAGGTGGCTTAGTTTTCTGGTAGGGCAACTGGCTGGTAAAGTCCAGGCAGTGGACAAGGGGGTCAGCTTCCTTGGTTCAGCTTCCCTGGCTTGAGTGGGAAGCTGCCCACTGTGGAGTCCCAGGAAGACCCCAGGCCTGAGGCCTCCCTGTCCCTGAATGACCTCTTTTCTCATCAGGCTCTGGCTATTTGGATACATGTCCCTCTTTAACTCTTCTGGGTTCTACTCAGTTCTGGGCCTCGAGGGCATCCCCCACTTCCCACAGCAGTTGCTCTGTCCACCCCTTGTCTGTGTTCCCACCCAGGAGCATGGACCCCTTGTCCTATCTTGGCTGTGCATTTAGAGCCTACCAGGGTTTACTCTGCACAATCAGTAAGAGCTTATCCAGGTATGAATAGAATTTGGGAAGGCCAGGAGGGGAGTTTTCCCACTGAGGGCCTCACTATATAGCCACTAAGGACTGTGGAAATCTCAGTACCTGTCCTGCAGTTGGACACGGTGCCCCCAGTTCAGGGACTTCACATGGTTTTGCACAGCTTCTGCCATTTTCCTCCTTTGAAACAGAAAACAAAATGTAAAAACCACAATAGAAGTGTTAACTATGGAATCTCAAACAGACTAGACTCAAATAGTACATTTATCTAAATATTAAGAAGTGGAAGTGTGTCTAAAGGAGTACAATGTGATGTCTTCCTCATGGGCATCATGACCTCTCACCAGAGTTTGGGGCTATGAATCTTTGAAATCAGGAAACAGAGGCTTTGGCCCACAACCATTCAAATGTAGTGGTTCTGCATCCAGGACATCATACCTGGCAGGCAACATCCTGCCTCAGTCACCTGTATGTGAGCTCTGAGCAGAACCATGTGCTACTGCCTCCATCAATCTTCTTCCCAAAAGAACTAAACCGAAGAGGCTTTATGTCCCCACATTGGCCTTTGGGGCTGGATCATTCTTGGTAGGCCTATTCCATGCACTCTAGGACATTTGGCAGCATCCCTGGGTTTTACTCAGGAAATGAAGCAAACCCTTCCCTGACCCAGGGAAAACCAAAGTGTCTCCAGAGATTGCCAAATATCTGGGGATTCAGGTTCAGAGCTACCCCTAGCTGAAAGCTCCTGTCCTATAGCTGCTCCCAGTGAGAGTTAGTGGGGAATAAATCTCTTCCTCTACTTAAGAGTAGCAGAAAAGAACTGGGAACTTCCCATAATGAGCTCCTTACCAGTCATGCCGGATGGGTTGAGCCACCTCCCAGCCATAGTGGTGGGCATCCTGGATCATGCCCCCAAGCAGTGCCGCCTGATGCATCAGCTTCTTGGGGATGCAGCCCACATTCACACAGGTGCCACCAAGGCCCCACTTGGTGCCTGCAATATTGGGAAGTGCACTTTTTTTTTTTTTTTTTGTAGTGCCAAGAATCAAACCCAGAGCCTTTCACATGTTAGGCAAGTACTCTTTCACTACTTTCACTGGCCATATTCCCAGCCCTGGGAAAAATCACATTTGAATTCATATACATAGACGCACAGGAGGACTTCTGCTCTATGGTGTTTAGAATCCCTTTAAGTGGTCATTGTTCTGTAATTCAAACATGGCCCAGGTGAGCCCTACCATAGGAATATTCTCTCTGTAACTGTGTTCAGCACCATTTTAAACATGAGGATAAAGAATTTTTAAAATAAAGACAGTTTACATCTGAAATAGGACACTCTCCAGAGACAATAAACAGAAGGGGACAAATGATTTTGTATCAGTCACCTTCTATATATGAACTAGGTTCCATCTCCCAAACCCTTCCCTAGGACACAGGGTTCCTATCAGGGACCGCCTACCTTGGGGAGAGGGCTCCACATAGTCTACTACAGCCACCTTCCTTCCCAGTTGAGCAGCTGGAATGACAAAAGAACTGAAGATGAGCACAGCAGGAAAGGTGGCCAGGGGCTGGGGAACAGGGGCTACCAGGGGCCCATAAAACTGAAAAGAAGGTGGGGAAGGGCCTGGGCTAGCTTCTGCCTTCACAGTGGCCAAGCTGATAATGTTAGTGACTCTGTCCCATCTACCCTGGTATTCTGGCCAAGGCCACACTGCCTACTAGCTTTGCACCAACCTCCTGGCCTTCCTACTGTCCAATAAGCTGTGTTGCTCAAAGGAGGGAGCCCTTAGGCCTCTTCTCATACTGCAGCCTTCACACCCCCTACCAAGATGACATTGGGACCAATCCCCACTTGGCTCTTGCTCCTATTAGTTTCAGGACCAGATGTTCGGAATGAATTCAGTGCACACCTCAATTACATAGGGAGTTATCCCAGGAGCAGCCCACCTCCCTGGGAGAGGACCCCTAATCTCCATCTGTTCTGGGAAGCCCAGACTCTTCTCACTGGCTCACCTCTTTTCCAAATAGTGAGAATGAACATAACCTGGCCTCATCAGGGCATTTACTTGCCTCCCTCTCAGGTTGAAAAACATCAAAGTTTAGAAGTGAAACATTAAGTCCAAGGTTGATCATCTCCCAGAGAAGAAGGGGAGACCTAGAGTCTAAACAGATTCCCTGCCATGTAGCTACCAGTTGACCTCCCAGTCATTAGCAGGGGGTTGAGGGCCTCAATCCTCAGGTTTTGAGGCCAACTCTTGAACCATTAGTAGAGTTAATTAATTGCCAGGCATCCCTTTGATTTACCTTGGGAAGTACATTGGCAAACCCTGGGCCCTGGACTTGATTATCTCTGAGGGCATGCGGGCTTAAACTTCATGAACCCAAAAGTATTCAAAACATAAAAGAACACAAAAATTCATAGCTATTAGAAAGCAAGACTAGAACAAAGTTTTAGAAGGTTCTTTTTTTTTTCCCCTGCAGTACATGGGATTGAATCCAGGGCTTACACATGACAGGCAAGTGCTCTATCACGAAACTGTATTACCCAGCTTCCCCCAACTTTTTTTTTTTTTTTGTGTGTGTGTGTGTGTGTATTTTATTTTATTTTATTTTATTTTTTGTGTGTATATTTTATCTAGAGAGTTGCTTGGGACCTAAGTTGCTGAGGCTGACTTTGAATTTGGGATCCTCCTGTCTCAGCTTCCCAAGCTGCTGGGATTACAGGTGTGCATCACCATGTATGGCAAATCACAATCTCTTTTAAAAAATTTATTTTGAGATAGGGTCTCACCAAATAGCCCAGAGTGGCCTCAAACTTGTGATTCTCCTGCCTTAGCCTCCTGAGTAGATAGGTTTACAGTGTGTGCTACCACACCTGGCAGAAGAGTTCATCTTAAAAATCTACTTTCCTCAAGTGATTAATGATGATAATCCAGCTGGGTACAGGGGCATATGACAAGAGGGCTGCCAAGTTCAAGGTCATCCTGGGCAATTTAGCCAAAACTTGTCCAAAAAAAAAAAAAAAAAAAAGGATTCCCACACCTAAGTTAAAAGCTTGGGCTGATGGGAATCATTAAAATATCAATGTCAAACTCTCAAGTCTGACCACGGAGCAACAGTGGCCAAATTTAGCCTTCCACCTGAAACAACCAAAAATTCAGACAAAATAAGACAAAATATATGAAACAACAAATTATTAAGACACTGGACATTAGGCAACAAAGGATCCGAGATACAAGAAATGAACAAGGTGAAATTGACTATAGAGTTTCCTGGATCCAACATTGCAGGTAAGGCAGATCCAGTGAAAGAGAGGAAGGGCTGAGATTCTGAGATGTCCAGAGTTCATGGGACAGAAGAGAGGGAAGAGCCAGATCAGCACATGCACTTGAGGATCTGAGTCTGAACTACCAAAAGGATTAGAGCAGACAGCACTTGCACAGGGCAGGAAATAGTGCCCATTCCCAGAAGCCAGATAAAAAAAATATATACAATTCCTGGGATTATGCATAAGTTCTAAGGAAGGTCATGCTTCAGGAGTTGAGAATAATTAGTCCTCACCTAACAAATACTAGGCAGAAGGATCAAACCCTTTCTTAATAAGTTACCTGCATCCAGAATAAACCTTAATAATATTTCTAGAAATATGAAAATGTCCAGAACCCAACAAGGTGAATTCAAGATGTTTGGCATTCAACCAAAAATTACTAGRCAAACAAAGAAGCAAGAAAATACATACAACACATAAAGATGGAAATAGTCAATGGAAACCAAGAACTGACTTAAATGTCAAAGGACCAGTAAGACACTCATAACTATTCCATATGTTCAAACAATTAAGGAGGAACATGGAAGATACAAGGACCTAAGTTAATTTATAGAGATAAAAACTATAATATAAAAGATGAAAAATACAATGAATGGTATTAATGACAGATTTAGACACTGCAAAATTTATTATTAGTGAATTTGAAAACAAGAATAGAAATTTACAAAATAAAACACAGAGATAATAAGAATTTTTTTTATTTGTTTGTTTTAATGAAAAGMAGCCTAATATACATGTAATTAAAATCTCCAACAGTGAGGGGGTGGGGATGGAAAAAATATTTGAGAAAATGATTATAAAATTTCACAGGTTAATGAAAACTATAAACCCATAGACCCCAAAAGCTCAACAAACTCTAGGAAAAAAAAAAAAACAATAAGAAAACTAATCAAGGTACACCAAAATTTAAAGCCATTCCTAGAGGACTGGGGATGTAGCTCAGTGATAGTGCTTGCCTAGCATGCACAAGGCTCTGGATTCAATACCCAGTACCACAAATAAAGCAACAATAATAACAAACAACACTGCTCAAAAACAATGAAGAAAGAAAATTCAAAAAGCAGTCAGAGAAAAAAAGATATACTACTGAGCAACAAAGATAAAGATGGCAGCACACATTTTGTCACCAGAAACCAAGCCAGAGAACCTGCCAAGATTCCGACTGACTGGAATTGAGTGCCTTCCCAACTAAGAAATAAAAGGAAAAATGAATTTAATTGCAGTTAGGTTAAAATGAGGAAAAGCAGCTAATCGATCTCTGCTGGTCTTACAGAAGTGGTCCCATAGAAGCAATTACAATTTATAAAATCATAAACCAGAAAATATACACATGTAGATTTAGCTAGGTTGTGCTAACAAGAACTTTGTTACAATTTTAGTTTCCTTGGTGACAGCTCCAGGGCAGAGGGTAATTTCTCCAGTTTACATTCTTAGCATGAAGAAACTCTGGATGCAGAAAATCAGTCACCAGGAAGTTGGGAAGCAAAAAGTACTTTGGGGCTTTTAATTTCAAAGAGACTTTGTTATAATTTCTCACTGGAAATAGTACAAGTGAAAAGAGAAAGGGGCAAAATCTTTAAAATACTAAAGAAAAAAAACTGTCTACTTGAATTCTATTCCCCAAGAAAATGTCTTTTAAAAATTAAAGGCAAACTGGGAGTGGTAATGGGACACATCTATAATCCCAGCCACTCGGGAGGCTGAGGCAAGATCAAGTTGAGGTTAGTCTCAGCAACTTAGTGAGGCCCTGTTTCAAAATAAAAATAAAAAGGACTGGAGATGTACCTCACTGGTAGAACACTTGCTTAGCATGTGCAAGGCCCTGGGTTCAATTCCCTGTACTGGGGAAAAAAAAAAAAAGCTAAAAGAACCTATTACCACTAGAACCATGTTGTGAGAATTGTTCAAGGACATCTTCAAGGTAGAAGAAAAATGAAGGGCTTGGTGGTAGACACCAGTAATACCAGCTACCCAGGATGCTACAGTAGGAGGATTGCAATTTGAGGCCAGCCTTGGCAACTTAGCAAGATCTTGTCTCAAAATAAAAATAAATAAACTTATTAAAACAGCTGGGGATATAACTCAGTGGTAGTGCCCCTGGGTTCAATCTCTAGTACTGAGAAAAAAAAAGGGTAGAAGAAAAATGATAATAGGTAAAAAATGTCTCTACACAAAGAAATAAAGAACACTGGAAATGGGAAATACATGGGTAAGTATGTAAGATTTTTCTCTTATTATCTTACTTATCAAACTTTCGCAGTGTTAAGGATTGAACCCAGGGTCTTCTATGTTAAGGAAGTGTTCCTTCTTCCTTCATTCCTCGCTATAACTCAGACCCCTTAGTTTGGTTCCTGTTTGTTCTGTGTTTCCAGAATTTCTAAGAAACATAGGCTAACTCTTAAATTCTGGAGAACAGTTAGAAATGCTTTGAAAGTAGGGCTCGTTGGTCAAATTAATGGCTTAGATAAACTCAGAAGATACCAGAAATGGTTTTGAATGTATAAAAACTTGAACCTGTAAGAGTATTCACAGCCACAATTAAAAAGGCAAGTAATCAGGGCTGAGGGTGTAGCTCAATGGGAGAGCACTTGCCTAGCATGTGTGAGGCAGTGGGTTCGATCCTCAGCAATGCATAAAAATGAATAAATAAAATARAGGTATTGTGTCCATTTACAACCCCAAAATAAATAAAGGCAATTTATCAAAAATTTTCTTGGTTACATCTGGAGTCTACAGATCCAGACAGAGAAGAAAAACTTGGAGATATGAGTATATGTATTGTGTGTGTGTGTGTATGTGAGGGGGGGGTGAAACAATTCATTTTAAAAAACAGGCAAAGATTTTGAATAGACATTCCTCAAAAAAATTTCTAATAAGCACAAGAAAAGATGCTCAATAATGCTAATTATTAGAGAAATGTAAATCAACCACAATGAAATACCATTCATACCTACTTAAGATGACAGATAACAAAGAATTAGTGAGGATATGGAGAAGATGGAACCTTCTTGATGATGGCATTGTAAATGATACCAGTCACTTTGGAAGACAGACAATTCCTCAAAAGATTAAACATAGAGTTCTCATATGACCTAGATGTTACTATTATGACTCCACTCCTAGGTAAATACCAAAGAGAAACAGAAACATATGTCCCACAAAAACTTACATATAGGGACTGGGGCTCTAGCTCAGTGGTAGAACGCTTGCCTTCCACGTGTGAGGCACTGGGTTCGATTCTCAGCACCACATACAAATAAATAGAGATATTGTGTCTATCTACGACTAAAAAAAAATTTTAAAAAGAAACCAACATATAGATGTTCACAGCAGCATTGCTCATAATAGCTGAAAAGTGGGTTTAAACGATTCAATGTCAGTCACCTAACAAATGTATAGACAAAATATGATCTATCTGTACAATGGAATATTAACCACCACAAGAAGGATCCAAAAGCTGTATCATGGATGAACACAGAAGACAACATGCTAAGAAAAAGAAACAATGACAAAAGACCATGTATGATCCCATTCCAAAACAGGCAAATCCACAAAGAGACAGGAAGTAGCTGAGTGAGGGTGCCAGGAGCAAGGAGAAGAGGGAATGTACTAATGGGTACAGAGTATTTCAGGGTAGGGAGATGAAAATGTTCTAAAGTTGATTGTGGTGCTAGTTGAACAATTCTGCAAATATAGTAAAAATAAAAAAAACACTGAATAATGTACACAGAATGAATAAATCACATGGTATGTGACATATTTCAAAACTGTTATATAAAAAAGGGGTAAGTCCAGCAAAAGATGTGAAAGATCTGTATAGTGAAAACTGCAAAATACTGCTGAGAGAAATGAAAAAAAAAATCTAGATTAGAGATATATCATGACTCAATTCGTCCAATTTTAGGCATTTACCCAAGAGAATTTTAAACATACATCCCCAGAAACATACATACAAATGTTTACAGCAGCACCATATGCAATAGCCAAAACCAACAAACAAAAACAAAAATGACCATCTGCAGGTGATCAAATTCCTGCAGGTGGTATACTGTTCACCAATAAACAAGAACAAACTGTACATACATGTAGCAACAGGGATGAGTCTCAAAATAAAGATGCAAAATGAAAGAAGTCAGAAGAGTAAGAGCATATATAACTTGATTCCATCTATATAAAACTTTAGAAAATGCAAACTAGGCCAGGTACAGTGTCTCAGCTCTGGAGGCTGAGGCAGGAGGATCGTGAATTCAAAGCCAGCCTCAGCAAAAGCAAGGCACTAAGCAACTCAGTGAGACCCTGTCTCTAAATAAAATACAAAATAGGGCTGGGAATGTGGCTCATCAGTCCAGTGTCCCTGAATTTAATCTCCGGTACCAAAAAAAAAAAAAAAAAAAGAAAAGCAAGAAGAGAGGAGGCAGGAAGGGATCACCAATTAGACTGTAAGGTTCCTATAGCAGTTCAATGAGTCCCAGTGAACTGCACTACTAGATTATCAGTGAACCGAAAGGTAAGGTCTCTGGATGTATCATCCACCATGTCTTTACTGAGCACCTACTGAGTACCAGACCTAGGTCCAGACATGATTTGCAGAGGCAACTGTGGTCTCTTTGAGAAGGCAAAGCACTAAGAACAAGGATAGAGGAGCTAGTGACAGGGATTATACAGTGGGAGTGTGCAGTTCTAAGTATAGCTATCTCAGCAAAGACTGAAGAGAGATGAGTGAGACCCCCAGCTAACCTGGTGGGCAAACAACAGACCAACAAATCAAGCTGCCAGGGCAAGAAGGACATAAGCACTTCTGGAAGGATGTGCAGAACAGTAAGGAGGTAGGGCAGTGGGGGTGGGTAGCTGCTGAAATTGGATGGATGAGGTCAGATCCTGTGAGGCCCAAGGACCTCCACTTTGAGCAAAGACTGTGCTCAGACTTCAAGTACTGCTGTGACTGCCATGAGTGGCAGACACCACACTATTCCATGGTGGGAAGCAGGGCATAACTAGGAGGTTGCTTGGGTGACCAAGCAGGTAAGCTGTACTCTACTTGTGGATACTGAGGCCCACGTCCACAATGCCACCTCTCCAGGGACATACATACCTTCTTTGGCACAAGCCAAGCCACCAGATCCCCCACCAATCACCAGGAGATCATAGTTCTGTTGTCCTGCTGAGGAAAGAATGAGGTGAGAAGTAAAGAAACCAGAACCAGAAGAGCCCCTGTGATTTCCAAAGGGCAAAAAGCTCTGTTTAAACATGGTGCAGCATTTATTTTATCAGGATGGGAGATTCCATATTAGGATGGAAAATTCCATCCTGTGGCAGTTTGGGCTGAAAACACATCAGCATCATGAATCAGAGCAGAAAGTGACTCCATACATGTCTTCCACACAAAGCCAGAATCTAAGCAAAGTGAGGCAAAGTTGGCAGCAGGTGTGCATGAACAGCTTTGCAGACCATTCTCCCTACCACACTACCACACACACCCTGGCAGCACTTCTCAGAATTTAACCTTCAGTGTTCTGAACCAGACAGAACTAAAATATTTTCTGTGAGTTCATGTTCGTTCCAGTTGTAAAGGTGATCCTTTGTTAGAAGTTAGCAAGAAGAAAAAGTATAGCCCCCGCCACATGGAAGTCGGTGACAAAAAAGGTGTTTCAGTGTGCCAGAATACAAAGTATAGGAGGGAAAGGACCCTGGACACCAGTAGAGCTGCCTGGGCTCAGGCTTCCTCCCTGGGATCCCTTTTGGAAGCTCACACCATAGCTTACTCACAGCTCAGAGGGCTGCTCAGAGCCTTTCTGACCAGTCTGCTGTCCCACCCCTCCACTCTGCAAGCTGCTGTATGAAAGGCAGGCAAGTAACAGGTCATGGGTGAAGATGAAGGAAGGAGAGGGGAGAGTGCTTTAACCTGGGCCTGAAGTTGGGGATACCCAGCACCAGGCATCAGGCCACTCCATCGAGGAAGGAATAACAGAAAAGTATCAGGGTTAGGGCATGGTGAGGACTGGTACCAGGCCAGGATATAAACAAATAGTGCCTTCAGTACCTCTACAGACATGAGCCTGCCTGAAATGCCATCCTCTGGAGTTGGCCACTGTTTCCAAGTAAGGCCCAGGGGTCCCATGACCAAAGTGCCTGCCATCCAAGGCTGAGGCATCTTCCCCTACCAGCATCAAAATCTAGCATCTGTGGGGGAAAAGCTGTGTCTGTCTTTGCAGCCACCAGCCTTCTTGGTCTGGCAAAGATGAAATGCAGGGGCTTCCTTGCCCCTCAGGGTCTCTGGCTGTGCAAACAGGGCCTGTACTCTTATAGGAACACAGAACTGAAGGAGGCCTATGGCTTGCAACTGGCCTGCCGCACAACTAGACCCACTCAAGGTCCTGTCCAGCAGCCATTATTTGAACGAATGAACACAAAGGAGTCACAGCTAACTCAAGCAGCCTTATAAAGCACACCCAATTCCATGTTCAATTCAAGGACTCTGAAAAAGCCTGACAAGCTGTAAATTATTCTGATGGTTTTAATATGAGCCAAAAGAACTAAGGACAACTGGTCGTAGAAGGGAAGACTGCCACAGAGCTCCAGGAATCACAAAAATATGGGTCAGGGCCTCTCTCCTCTCCTGCTACTAGGGATGGGGTGGGAGCAGGGCAGAGGCTCAAGGGATTGAGGGTGGGAGAAGCAAAGCTTCATCCTGGAGAGTCCTACCTTCCATTGCAAATACTTGTCCTTCCTGTAACCAGAGCGGGTTGTCCAGAGTTGTCCTGCCCCAAAGCCCTCTGCCTGCCCTCTGCCTGCCTGCTATCAGCCAGCAAACAGGACTGGCTGCTTGTGAATTGTGGACTTATCTTGGGCCCTTTGCTATCTCCCTGTGCATACCTAGGAGTACTCTCAGCCTGATTAATACTTGGAAAAAGGTCCTGCAGTAGAGCAGTTTGCAAGTGCAAGATATCTCCAAGTATTTGGGAGGCTCTGAGTAGCCTGTTGAGAGCAAGCACTCCAAAGGTGGATGAGGTGGGACTGGGCATAGCAGGTATTACTTGATGGGAAAACTAACATCCTGGCCTTCATCCACTTGAGCGGGTCACAACCTCCCTGCCCACAGGGCTTGGCACCAGAACCTGTCTTTGCCTCATCTCTACCTTCTTACCATATTATTCTTTAATTTTCTGACCCTTTCTGGATCCAGTGCCTGGTACAGGGCCAGCAAAGAACAGGAGCCCAGTGAGTATGGCAAAGACCAAATGAGTGGTGCAAAGTTCTAACAAGGGTAAGAAGATCTGCAAAATGGTTGTGTACCTGAAGGTGGGCTGGCCACCCCTAAGGGAGTCACCTCCAGGAGGAGATTCCTGTAAAACTATTCTTCCTGCTTCAAGCTCTTTTCTGTTAGCAGGTGTTAGGGTGACAGATGACTCCAGCAGTGCTGTCATTCTAGTTCTCATTCAGGAGTTATATCAGTTATAATAGCTGATATAACTCAAAAGGGAAGATGTTTCTTCTCTGAAAGGAGAAGCTGTCAGGCTGAAATGAGGAGACTCAAAATTGGACTCTGGAATCATCGTTAAGGGGGTTGGYACCTTCTCCAGGGCCTAGATTATGACTCCAGAAAGTCCTGGGGTCTTCCACTTACTGCCAGCACTCCCTGGGTTCCAGAACAGAATCCTCAGGGCAGCAGTGCCTCCTGCCCAGCTAAAAATGAAATGCCTGGCCCCAAGGCCACAGTTACCCACCAGCCTAAAGGCCCTGGATGTGTGACCACAAGCACTGCTCCTGTTAATGCGCTAATGGATCTTTTAATGCCACTAAACAGGGTAATAGCTTCACTGATATGGGTGCATTTAATCCATATAAATGTTCCTACCTGACATATGCAACAAGGAGGCTCCAAAAGATAGCCCTTTCCAAAGTCTCAGGGTTAGCAAAGGTAACCAATAAGAGCAGACTTAGGTTCCTCTAGGTTTTCACTTCAGGACATGGTGACTACCTCCTGGGGCTCTGTAGGGCCACCTTCAGCTCCAAGGCATCCCAAGGTTCCAACATTAACAGCTCTGCCCATTCATATATGCAGTCAGCAGCAATCCCTTCTGAATCAACTGCTGGCTGAGTGCCAGCCACTCTGTTTCCCAGGCAGCCATTTTTGTGAAGATGCCATGGTGTGTCCTTACTCACAGCCCTCCATACTCACTTCCATGGGGGAGAGTTGAGCTCTGTCACTAGAGTCCAGGGAATAGCGCTGGGGCAATGGTGGTGGGGTGGTTACTGTGCAGGTTCATGCATGGGACTGGCCTCACCATCCCAGATGTGGTGGCACTGTTGCCAGTTCTGTAGTGTGAACTGTTCTGAGAGACTTGCCCATCCTCTGCACACAGATTATTTAGTGTGGTGATGAGTTCTTTGAAGTCTATATCAAATTGTCTGACTTTAGCCTGCAGTGCTTTTTCAGCTTGGATGGGGCAGGACAGCTGCAAGATAACTTGAGTCCTAATAAGGATCCAGACTTCTGGCCACTTAAAGTTAATGATTATTGTCCTAATTTGGTCAATGAGGCTCAGTCCTTCCCTAACATAGATTCCCATGTGCATTGGGTCCCCAGAACCCATTGGTCTTAGCTTCCCCTCATTCATTCCCTACCATAGCCAGTGGTTTGATGTGGAGGTGCTCATCGTGTGGCCCGTGGGGTGCCAGATGACCCCAAGAGTGGGGACATCATCCTAGTCAGAACTACAGTTAATTTTGAGCTGGGGTGGCGGCGAGTGGGGGTGGGGAGAGACAGCTTCTGGAGGTTGCAGGTACAGCCAGTACTGGATGATCTCTGCAAGCCCACCAACCTGTTTCCCCATCTGAGGAGGCTACCTGGCTAGAAGCAGGTCTGACTCCTATTCTGTGCTATTCCCAGTCGTGCGCCAACACCCCTACTGAACAATCTCGGTACGGATACCCGGTCCTCCAACCCGGGAGTACTCTCCTATGGATACATGCCCTATCCACGGTCAGCACGGGCACGCCCGCCCCCACAAGGACACCCCCCCCACGTCGACACCTACGCACTACACCGTGTACCAGGCCACGCGGACACCCCCACGTGGGCACCCCCGCCCCCAGCCGCAGGGATTCGGTCGCTCCCTAGGTCGCCCACCCTACCTGCCACGCCCCGAGCCGCACCCCGCACCCCTCCCGCCAAGGCCTGCGTCCGCCACCGGAAGCGCCGGCCCGGGCCCCGCAGAGCCGCCGCCATTGCCGCCGCCATCGCCGCCATCGTGTCGGGACCTCTCAGTTGCCGGGGCTGCCCTCCGCGCTGCCTGCGCCCAGTGCGTCCGGCAGTCCAGGGAGCGCGGCCTTGAGCGAGGTGAGTAAGCTGGTGAGCCAAGGGATGGGCTCATGGGTGGGGTATTTGGCCGGCGGTGAAGGGGTCGGAGAGTCTCCGGACCTGGGTTGGTGATTCCAACCTGAGCTGGGGAATTTGAGTGTAGGAATCTGCCCTTGGGCGTGGGTCTGCGGACCTGGGTTGGAAGATGTATTTAAAGTGGGGAGTTTTGGAAGGATGAGGAATTTGGATAGCCGTTAGGGGTTCTGATCTTCTGTGAAGGTCTCTGGACAGGGTCTGGGCACCAGACTCTCTGTGTGTGTGTGTGTGTGTGTGTGTGTGTGTGTGTGTGTAGTGGGGAGGTGGTTATTTGAAGATCTGTGCTGGAGTTGGCCTCGAGACAGGGGTAGGAAATCTGTTCTTCTACCACGGGTGGGGATCAAGACTTACAGACTGAAAGGGCAGGCCTATCCCAGGAGCATGGCTTGACCTGGTGAGGATGTGGCAAAGCCAGGACCCTACCCATTGGAGGATCCCACTTGGTCCTTAGATAAGGATCAGACTCTCAGATCAGARAGTTTTAGGGACCCAGGAAGAGTACAATGATCTTCACAATAGGTTCCCCCTTGGAGTCCTTGGGGAACACTCCACTAAATGGCCTTTCCATGCAAGTGAGTGGCTTCCTGACCTGGAAGGGGGACCCATCAGAGTCCAGAACCCCCCAAGGCTGAGCTGTGTGTTATTGCAGGAGGCTCGCCACACCTGCCTTGCTAGCAGATCAGCATTTCAGATTTTTCCAGCCAGAGATTTTGGTGCCCTACTGCATTTGTTAAATATGGTTCTCCATGCCTCAGTACTTGCTGCTTCCTGGAGGGACTCTGGGGGACTCTGCAAGGCTCAATGAGGAGGACAGCATATCACAGAGAAATACAACTCGACACTAGTTGATGTGGCAAAAACAAATTTTACTCAGGAACTAGTAATAGCAGGAGAAAGAGTTGAGCTCCATTCTGATTTGTGCAGAGGTGACTGAGTGTTTCACAGGGGTATGGGGGAGTAAAGAGTGCAGTAGGGTCAAGGAAGTAAGCATTTACAAAAATCAGGGAAGGAGGGTGGGTTCCTGGGAAGGCCAAATGGGTTTGCTGCGGGGGCCTTTGAATTTTGCTGCATTCTTGAATTTTCTTAGGCATTTTGAGGGGGTTAGGGCTATCCTAGGGATGCAGTCATGAGCTATTAGAAACTTAGTATTTAAAGGGAGCCTTAATGGTTGGAGTTTGGACAGAGAGGATCTTGTCAGTGTTCTTGTTCAAGAGACATTCTTCTTCCCTAATAATAGAAGTCCATTTTCTGTTCCATAGCCTTTTGTTTGTGAAGGACTAGCTGAACTAGGATGAAGATATTTGCTGTATGGTGTAAATGATCAGGTATTTAATGAGAGGCATTTCTGTGAAAATAGGAAAATAAAGGTTAATGGTTGGAGTTGACCTCTAAACCCAGCTTTTTTTTTTGGGGGGGGGTATCAGGAATTGAACTGAAGGGCGCTTAACCACTGAGCCACATCCCCAGCCCTGTTTTATTTATTTTTTTTTATTTTGAGACAATGTCTCACTAAGTTATTTAGGGCCTCATTGGGTTGCTGAGTCTGGCTTTGAACTTGCCATTCTTCTGCCTTAGCCTCCTAAATTGCTGGGATTACAGGTGTGTGCCTAATCCCAGTTTTTGAGACTAGCGGGCAGTAATTTCTGGGTGTCTGACTCTTAAGTGTCTTTAAAAAAAATTTTTTTTTACTTGTTGATGGACCTTTATTTAATTAATTTATTTATATACAGTGCTGAGAATTGAACACAGTGCCTCACATGCTAGGCAAGTGCTGTACCGCTGAGCCACAACTCCAGTGCCTCTTAACTTTCTTTTTAAGTGGTAGAATGTGGACAGCAGTAGCAACTTCATGGATTGCCCAGATTTTGAAGTCCGAATGTGTGTGGTGAAGGCATAGACATCAATGTCAGCATTGTACTTATTTTTTGGAGCAGAGTATGAAACTTGTAGGAGTTGGAGAGGACTTCGTGGCTCATGTGGCAGCAGCTCTAGGCATGATGGTTGCACATAGACTATTTAGTGTGGGATGAGTTCTTTGAAGTCTATATCAAATTGTCTGGCTTTAGCCTGCAGTGCTTTTTCAGATTCTGATAGGGTAGGACAGCCAGCTCCAGTCCCAGTAAAGATTCAGACTGTCAGGTTTTGTTCTCAGTGACAACAAGTCAGAATGGAAGAAGAAAAATCGAAAACAACATTTTGGTGCTCTGTAGCCAAATATTGAAGGAAAGTGTATCTGTGTTGAGAGCCACAGCCGAGTCAGAATGACGCCTGGCATATTGCCAGAGGGAATGGTTGAAAGGTGAAGCCAGCGAACCATTGAGATGATGATTTGAGTTAAGCTGTATATAATTGCTGTGATGCTGGATTGATTGAGTTGTATATGGACCCTGCTCTGGGAATTGGCGGCTCCGGGAATCTGCCAAGATCACCCGCTACTTTGGAGTTCCCGGGCAGTTCTCGTGGGGGTTCGGAGAGATTGGACGGAGCCCGGTGGAGGGAGTGCCTTCCTGTGTGGTGTGTGCAGTGCCGGTAAGAGTTGGGGAATAAAGAGTTGCTGTTTGAATCTACAAGGCTTTGTGGCGGCTCGGTTATTTGTGCCCAGCCAGACTGCAGCATATCTGAGTATTTGAGGGCTGGCAAAATGAATAAGAAATCAAAGTCCAACCCAATTTATAGGTACATCATAAAAAAATCAGAATCTAATAATCTATAAAGGTATATTATACTTCTCCATCAAACATAAAAATAGCTGGGCGCAGTGGCGCATGCCCGCAATCCCAGTGGCTTGAGAGGCTGAGGCAGGAAGATCACAAGTTCAAAGCCATTCTCAGTAACAGCGAGGCACTAGGCAACTCATCAAGACCCTGTCTCTTGGGGCTAGGGATGTGGCTCAAGCGGTAACACGCCCGCCTGGCATGCGTGGGGCGCTGGGTTCGATCCTCAGCACCACATAAAAATAAAATAAAGATGTTGTGTCCACCGAAAACTGAAAAATAAATATTAAAAAATTCTCTCTCTCTCTCTCTCTCTCTCCCCTCTCTCACAAAAAAAAAAAAAAAAAAAAAAAAGACCCTGTCTCTAAATAAAATACAAAGTAGGGTTGGGGAGATGCCTCAGTGTTTGAGTACCCCTGAGTTCAATCCCTGGTAAACCAACTTAAGAATAACCTCTTTTTAAAATTTTTTAATTAATTAATTTATTTTAATTAAGTATATATGACAGCAGAATGCATTTTGATTCATTGTACATAATTGCAGCACAAATTTTTATTTCTCTGGTTGTACATGATGAAGTGTCACACCATATGTACCTAGGGTAATGATGTCCAACTCATTCTACCATCTTTCCTGCTCTCATGCCCTCTCCCCTTTGCCAAATCACAGTTCCTCCATTTCTCCCCCACCCCCCACAATTATGGATCAGCATCCACTTATCAGATGCTACCTTTGGTTTTTTGGGATTGGCTTTCTTCGCTTAGCATGATATTCTCCAACTCTATCCATTTACCTGCAAATGCCATAATTTTATTCTCTTTTAATGCTAAGTAATATTCCACTCTTTCTTTGTCCATTCATTTATTGAAAGACATCTAGGTTGGTTCTATTGTGAATTGAGCTGCTGTAAACATTGATGTGGCTGCATTATTATAGTATGCTGATTTTAAGTCCTTTGGTTATAGACTGAGGAGTGGGGTAGCTGGGTCAAATAGTGGTCCCATTCCAAGTTTTCTATGGAATCTCCATACTACTTTCCAGATTGGTTGCACCAATTTGCAGTCCCACCAGTAATATATGAGTGTGCCTTTTCCCCCACATCCTTGTCAACATTTATTGTTGTTTGTATTCTTGATAACTGCCATTCTGACTGGTGTGAGAGGAAATCTTAGAATAGGTTTGATTTGCATTTCTTTAATTAATAGAGATGTTGAACAAAAAATAACCTCTTTTTGAGCAAAGATAATGAAAGCACTTTTTTTTTTCCTGTGCTGGGGATTGAACTCAGATCCTTGAGCATGCTAGACAAGTGCTCTACCACTGAGCTAAGCCCCCATCCCAGAGAAAGGCTGTGTGTGTGTGTGTGTGTGTGTGTGTGTGTGTGTGTGTGTGTGTGTTTGCTGGTGGTGAAGATTCACAGCCTCATGCATGCTAATCATGCACTTTTCTGCTGAGCTACACCTCCAGTCCCTATACCTAATTTTTGTTTTGACCCCAAGTATCATGACCCCATGAGATTCTCAGCTGGAATTCTGGAGACCCTGTCCCAGCCCAGTGGCATGGTCTCAAAGTGATACCATCAGAAGCCTGTGCCTCAGAGTTGCCTTCAGAGGCCTTTCCGTGGTATTGGAGACGAAGCACTTTGGCCTGTAATTGATTGCAAGAGCTTTTAAGAAAGCATCAGAGTAAAACAGCTATTTGTGATGATTAAAGACTGAACATGAGGTGATTAAAGGTTTAATAAGAGTTCTTTACAAAATAATGCGTGGGTTCCAGTTTTTGCCCTTGTTCTACTTTGGTGCCACCCTAGAGACTGTGTACCTACTTAGCTTTTTCTTTTCTTCAGGGGGCTGGAGATGTGGCTCAGCGGTAGCGCGCTCGCCTGGCATGCGTGCGGCCCGGGTTCGATCCTCAGCACCACATACCAACAAAGATGTTGTGTCCGCCGAGAACTAAAAAATAAATATTAAAAATTCAAAAAAAAAAAAAAAACAAAATAATGCAAAATTGTTTTTGTGACCCCCCCCAACTTTTAAAATAATGATTATAATTATGAATGTGTGACTGCTAACATTATATGAAGACATATAATGGGCATTGACAAATTACTAGGGACTTCACCCAATTTCTGAAGTCCTTAAATTAACTTTTACCTATACAAATATAACTTGAGAAAGGTTAAACAGAATTTTTTTTTTTCCTTTTGCAGTGCTAAGGATTTAACTCATG